ATGAGCACTTAAGACTGTGTTGAGGGGAAAACTTGGTACAATGAAATATGGGCTAGAGCTCATCAGAACAGCCCTTGGCTATCTAGTCACCTCTGAGAATGCACTCCCTTCTTCACTTATAAAATGATAAACAGTTGTGATTGTGCAAGGGAGTCTCCTTTCTGGAGGAATGGTGCTTTGGCTGAGACAGCCAGTGTTTGGTGGGGATGGAAGAAAAAGGGCTTTAGTGCCACACTTCATGTTGTCTGACAGCTAGGAGCTGGGGATAGGCTTTGTGCTTGGGAGGACACAGAATTCAGTGTTAAAAATCTGTGAGAGGAATCGGGGTGGTGCAGCCTCCTTCTATGTCCTGCCATACTGCTGCTCCATCTCATTGGTTATGGGCACAATTTCCTATTGAACTTTCATAAAACCTCACATCCTCTTCTGTATTCCATTGTATACTGCCACCTGACTTGGTGTGTGAAGTAAAACTTATTTCCATTTTGGTTCTCTGAGAGTAAACGAGTAGATGATCAATCATGAAGCCCACACAGTTTATAATTGTTTGGAAATAATTTTCATTTCCTTTCTTTCCTTTGGGACTTTACCAAGTGAAGTGATAAGACAGGCTTTATTATTTCCCACTATAGGTAAAGAAACTGAGATCTAGAGAGGCAGAGATTTGGCAAACATACTATAGTTAGGATTGACTCACATCTGTCAGATTCCTAATCCCATGATTAAAGAAAAAACTAATTCTATGAAAATAGTCTTGAAAATCAAACTGCAAACACTCATCAACATCTCTTTTGGGTTCTTTGTAGGACTTCACTAGGTTTTTTACTTAGTTTCTTTGGTTTTATCACAGTGGCTAGAAAACTAGGAACAGCATCAGATCTCTAAGGAAGAAGACCTGGGGCAGGGACAATTCCTTCTTCACATGGCTGCCTGTTCTTCTCTAGAGTTGGCGGCTTATCTGGAAATGCAATTAAAATAGAAAAGTCACCATCTTGATTTGTGATTTCAACTTGGCAATCAAAATGATTGTTAGAAATAGGAAATTCTCATGGGCAGAAAATAAGGTACTTGGTTCTTACTGACAAAATGCCAAAGCTCTCCCCAACCTATCCGCACAGTATTACAGTGGGGACAACAAAGCATCTGCTTCAACCTGTGTGACCTGAGAACTACAAGCCCTTGAGTGTAGACACGATTCTGGCAGAGGCATCCTTTCATCAGTTATAGAAGGCTCTGAATTTGCACGTGTCAACAGCAAAGGAATGTGGACTGTTCTAGTTTTCTATGACTTCCATAACAAAGTAGCACAGACTAGATGGTTAAAGCAATAGAAATTCATTGGCTGGTAATCCAAACAATGTGTTGACAAAGCTGGTTTCTTCTGTGGTCTTTCTTTGTGGCTTATAGAAGTCTGTGGCTGACTTTTCCCTGTCCTGTGTCTTCCTGTATGCAAATTCTTGTTATAAGGATACTAGTCATACTAAATTAAGGCCCACTCTTACTTGTCTCATTTTAACTTAATCACTTCTTTAAAGACCCTATCCCTGAATACAGTCACATTCTGACATAACTGGAGATAGGACTTCAGCATATGAACTCAAAGGGGGTACAATTCAGCTGGTAACAGGTATCAAGGTTGAAAAAGTTTAAAATTATCGTCTCAGGATTATTTTGTCTTTTAAGGCTAAGGAGAAAAGTGCTTCTCCTATCACTGGGTTAATTATTTTCTTGTTAATATTCCACTTTGATATTAACCTTTCTCCTTTCTACTCTTGCTCTAATACCAAGTATGCACATCATTCCTCCTGGAAATGTGGTTAATTGTGTCATCCTGATTAGTCTGTGAGATCCTGGAGGGCAGGCAGGACTGTCCGTTAGTTGTTTTGGGCAGTCCTCATCACAAGGCCTCCTGAGGAGATATACAGCCAGCAGCAAATGCTTTCTTACTGATGCTTGCTCTGTGATAAGGCTCTGTGCTCACCATTGGGGCTTAAGTGACTGAAAGGAGGTGACTGATCTGTATTTGATTCCTGCATCAAACTGGGAAGGACTGGGCCCTGCTCTATTTTACAATGCTTACTCTGGTTGTTGTATGGTGGTGGGCTGAAGCAGTGCTGATCTGCAACTACCCTGTGAATTCTGTTGAGAGGCTGGGCTGTGAGCTGCATCTCTGTCTCTAATGTTCATCCTGCCTTCATTCTTTGCAATGCTGAAAAAGTTGTCTCATTTTTCTAAATTTCTGCTTTAATGTTGTTAATTGCAAACCTAGTAAAGAAGTTTCTGTAGGTTAGTGACTCAAAGGTTTCGGAAGCTGGGGGTTTATTGCTCTTGGTCTTACAGATGGACATCTCCAGTTGTCCTGCTCCTGCCAAAATCTGTATCAGGACTGGTTCTAGAGCAACTAAAGCCATTGTGCCAGAAGGAAAAAGGCTTGGGTTAGCAGTAGGCTGCACAGACAAGAGGGCAGAGGCTGCAGTTGGGTTTCTTGCTCTGTGGATTCCAGAATAGATCAACTCCACACCCAGCAGAGAAAGAACTACTGCAAAGCACCCATTCTCTAGGACAATGACTATGTCTTGCTGAACACTTGAATTTTTCTGAAGCATGAAAGGAGTTGTTTCTCCTGAGTCTTTCTCCTGGGCCTCTTACGTAACCCTCAGCTTTCTCCTGCCTCTCCCTTTTTGCCTCTCAGAAATGCTTTTTTTTTTTCTGTGCACATGGCATACTTCTTCTATGCTTCTCCCTTGATTTCTTTCCTTGGACAAGTCTGGAAAGACAGATTTTGCCTGCTTTGTGCCTAGTTGCCACCAGAGCAGAGACTGAGTTTGAATCTCACTGTTAAGAGGCTGCCAAGAATAGCCATTGAGTTTAGAAATACTTCTATTCCTTTCCAGAAAAAAAAATGCACTGTGGGAGAAGTGGGGAGGTGGCAGGTGATTTTGGTCCATATGCATAAGTTGTGCCACAGAACACAAAGGCAGGCTCAGTGTTTACTGGACCCCCAACTATAGGCTGGGGCTTTTGCTGTGCTAAAAACTTCCAGCATGTGAACAAAATAGTTCATTTCCTGCATTTCAACTACTTCTTCAAAGGCAAAATCCCTTCTAATTTCAAGCAAATAGAAATGTGGACAAGAGCTCTCTTAATCACAGAGTGATACCTACTTGGTACCACTTTCAGTGGTATGTAGGTGACTTTGATACACCTCATTTGTCTGTGCTTTCTTTGGGGCTGAGAGTAGAAACAGTTCTGGAGCATGGGCTAACTTCAGATGCGAAAATGGTAGAAGATGTGACTTTGCAAACTATGGGGAATGGTATAACAATCCAGAAAATGCATCTGTTCCACTTCTCTGTAAAAGTAATTTTTATTAATTAAATAATTGATGCTTTTCTCAGCATTTCTATATAAATGATCTCTACAATCTAATAAGACTCAGATCATCTTTGGAAGATTGCAGTGATCTTATAACATGCACACATGTTGCTATAGGTACACCTTTCTGCACACATTTAAGGATATAATTTTTTATATGCCCATGGGTGCACAGCATTGGATAGTCATAACCCTAGGAGCCCAACACCTATCGGTAGTCCATGTGCTGACTGGTCATTTATTTATTTAAAAATCAGTGAAGTTTTCATGTACTAAGTGTCTGCAAACTCACCACCCTAAACGACAACTATATCTTTAACACAATCTATATCTAACCATACAGCTCTATCCCATCCCCTCCTGTGTGTCTTACCTACTAGAGGTAAATGTCAGTCTGAATCCTGTATTCAATTTTTTTGCCTTCCTTTTTCTATCATTTCATTGCATCTATTTATAGTCCTATAAAGTATATTTTTATTTCTGTGTAACTTAGAATCTTTGAAGCTCATTTTGTACTTAGTGTTTTAGTGTTGGTACTTTAACCATTTTGACTGCTATATAACATTTTATTGTGTGAATATCCTACAGTTTCTTTTCCACTTCTCCTTTGATGGGCATTTGGTTTGCTTCCCAGTTTTGCCAGTTTGAACATGGTAGCTATGAGCATGCCCCTTCTACATGCCCTTGCTTGCTTATGTGCAAGAGTGTAATTGCTGAATCACGAGCTATAGCAAATGTTCAACTTCAGAGATGACAACTTAAAAAGTTCTCTGCAAATATGTGTGAGGGCACATGTGTATGCATTAGCTACAATTAAATGATAACAGCAATATTTTATGTTTGGTATTTAATCAGAAAAGTTAAAAATGTACTTCTTCCCCAAGCATAATATTTTATGGGTGATATAAAATGGAATGTCTTAGATCATGCCAGAACTAGAACCAATGTAGTTCATAAATTCAGACAAGGCAAAAGAATCCAGTGGAAATACACTCTGATGGGGCAGTTATATCTAATGTCCAACAAAAGATAGCTTCAAATTGTATTTGTTTAGAAAATGTTAAGAGCTCATGTTGTAGACATTGATGCTTCAATATGTACTATACCCCTTCTTCTAAATGGGCCATTGTGGGACTCTGGATCCTTACCTGCAGACAGGACGACTTTTCCAGGTGAAAAAGCATCCCAAGTTCTCAGTATCTCTCTGTCTCTGTCTCTGTTTCTCTCTCTCCTCTCTCTCCCTCTCCTTCTCTCTCCCTCCATATATATGAATTATTTTTGTGTGTGTACATATCTTTAGTAAGCCAAACAGTGTTGTTATCAGAAGCTTGTCATAATCATCAGCAAACACTATTGTCTAAGATTTTTATGACTCTTTCAGCAGATGTTGTCATCCTCTGAATTACATTCAGTGTTTGGATTTAATAATTACTCTTCTTATTCAGAAAAAATTATATATATATATATATAATATATGTAAACATGTATTTTTATTTTGGATGGAAAACCACCAGAATTGAAACCAACTGGTAGATACTTAGAGTTATCATTCCATGTGAAGCTATATTTTGTGAAGACAGAATTTTCTGTCCAAAAGAACATAAGAGTGATCAAAAGCACATTACCTTCACGTACAGCTGCTGGAACTCCTCAAGGTTCAGCCTCCCGCTTGGACAGTCCTTAAGGAACCCCTTGTACCACTGCTTGAGTTCATGCTCATTGAACTCTGTGCTCTTCACCAGGTCCTCCATGACTTCGGGGGCCAGTTTGCTATTCTGTTTCCCCATTCTACCTAAGGAAAAGCAAATCAATGCAATTAGCGCTGTGGCTATGATCATTTCAAACTCAATTAGGAGCCAAACTGGAATTTTGAACAGTCCCTTGGTTAGAACTCTCTCCACTATGTTTGATCACACTCTTCCAGACTCTAAATCTTTCTTCTTGATGTTCTAGAACAAAGAGAGCAAAAAATAAAACCTCTCAGACAGTTCAAAGTGCTTTGATGCTCACCCTCCTCATCATGTCATCTGTTACTTGCCATTGACTTCCAAATGGAAACCAGGTAGCCTTCACTCTTCATGCTATTCTTATCAAGTGTATGGAAGCTGTTTTTCTTCTCCTTTTCATTACAATTCATTCCCACTAGGTGCTCTGTTGTATATTTCTATATTTAGCCTTAGGGATAGTGAGTGGAATTATTGACAAAAATGATAATAACTAAATGATGAAAAAGAGGCTTGGGAAAACTGAGGAATAAGCACAGGGTGTCTCAGTTGGTCTAGTTCTAAAGCTGTGGCTTTTTTCAAATGAAAACAGTTCATTTTCATGAGTCATATTATTTTTCTGCTTCTCTTTTCATCTTTAGATGCTACCTACAACATTGTTTTCAGAGTTGACAGACTCTTGGTGGGCTTTTTCTAGGGGTTGGTTGTTGTATTTTCATTGATGTAATTCTAGGCTGCTATTATTATTGATAGAAAGTAAAAACAATAGTGCATAAATGATGTTGCCTATACTAGTTATTATTAGTTTCTGTGGCTAATATCATTGTAGAATGTAGGAGGACAGTGTAGTTTGGAGTCATTCCTGGTGGTTACTCTTGAGTTGGCCATTTACTATATGTGTTATTTAGAGCAATATTAATTAATCATTATCTTCAATAAAGAAGACATAATAAAACTCAGCTTTACCGAGATGGCTAATTAAGAGATAAATAGATAAAAAAAGAGTAAAAATAATACTTTGAAGCTGAAATAGTTACTGTATTTGTGCCAGAAAATTAAGATAATTTTAAAAATTTCCTTAATTTTATTGTTTTATAATAACATAAAACATAACAATAGATTGACTTAAAAAGTCGAGATGATCTTGAAGATCTGAGGAACCACCAAAATTAGAAAAGTACAAGAAGATCATTAAAATCTAGTTAGAGGAGAGTGAGTTAGGTTTTGAAGAGTTTACCCAAGTACACACAGGTCTTCAATGTACTTGAAATGAATTTCCTTCCCAGTTCTAGGCAGGCCTACACTTGCAACAGCCGTAAGGGAAAGTCTCATCACATACTTTACTGTTGTTATTTTTTTTAAACTTCTAAAACAGATTCCACACCCATTGTCAGTAACCTGTCCTAACATGGAACAATTCCTCCAGTGTAATGAAACCAGACCATGCTTGCTGCTCTCACGTAGGCACCAGCAGCACGAGTCATGGATGATACCATTCGAATGGCCAGTCATTTTCCAAACTGCTCTGTCTGACAAAAGAAAACAGGGAACACCAACTATGCCTTTTATCATGGAGCTTCCTTACTTATTTTTGCTCTTTAATTTCAAGTTTCAAGTCTTTTATTAGCAAGCGTTCCTTAATTAGAACTTACTGTGGGATTCCACAGTTGGATGTGGAAATCAAGTGGGTACTCAGGTGTCAGGTTTAATTAATGTGGGTAAAGAACTATAATTCATACCTATCTTGACAATCAAAAGATGGACTGCCAAACCTTTTAGTATATAACTTTGTTCTTTTTAGTAGAGAAACACAAATCTTCATGATTGAACTAGAATCCCACCTAATCAAAACAGCTATTGAATATGGAATGTTGCCTGTGGAGAGGACTTACATGGAGCACATCACGCACCTTAATTCTTAGTCTCTATGACAAACCAAGCAACAAGGAGTACTGCAGAGTCCAGAAGTTCAGACAGTTTGGAAACTGATACAAAATCATACAACCAAGACATGTAGAGCTGAAATTTGAACCCACACCTGCAAGACTCCAATATATCATCATAGACAGATAAGAGGATGAAAGGAATTTCAGGGGCAGGAACAGGTGGAGCAAAAGCAGAGAGGTCAGAGAGTTCTAAATCAGTTCCAAGAAGGGACGAAAGAGAGATCATTTTGCCCCACTGGTTGCCTTATTTGGAAAAGACTTACATTTACCAAAACCACAAAGTCAGAAGTGACTTTGTATTGATGATGGGAAAATGAATTAAAGGTTTTAAAAAACCGCCTCCTCCAAGAGCCTTTAGAAGTTCAACAATCCATCAATTCAAGAAGGCTTAGATTATTCATGGATCATTTGTGATACTGTAAACCATTCCCTGACTGGCAGAGGACAGTCTCCCACCCACACAAGAAGCATTGTGAGGACCATGAATCACAGTTCTGGAGGCTCAAATGCATAACTTCATGTCTTTTGGTTATGGGCTATGGTTAGGTCCATTGGTCAGGTGTGCCTGGCAGTGGGTGGATTATGCAAAAAGTCAAGTTCTAGCCTGGTTCACAGTGGCATTGCCATTGTCCTCCTCAAGTCTCATCAAGCCTTGCCTAGACTAATGATCGGCCTCCTCCGTGAGTGACCCAACTCCAACCTACCTTCCACACAGCTGCCTGAGTGAATTTCTGAAATACAAACTTGCTATCTGATCTGCTCCCTAAAATCTTCAAGACCTCCTTTGTCTCCAGGATGCATGACCATCTCCTTAACAAGACACAGTCTTGCTTACTCATATCCTTATTTTCTGCCAGTCTATCCTTTTCTCCTCCTCTGTTTTAATATTTAAAGTGTGCATATTGCACACTTCCATGGCTCTGTGTATGCTGTTATTATTTCCTAGAATGATGTCCTCCTTTGTCTAACCAGCAGACTTCTTCCCCTTCCTCAAGTAGCCTCAGCTCACACCCCACCTCCTCTATGAAACTTTCATGATAGACTTAGCCTTTCTCTAGGTTGCTCCCTTTCCTCGTAAACAGCTTCCATGATCATGATTCATTTCTCTACTGGATTGTTAGTTTTTTGGGGAGAGAGGACTGTCTTTTATTTTTCTTTGCATCCTTGGTAATTTGTGAGGGGCTCAACAAATATTTTTTGAGGGAATGAACAAATGAAGTGAACTGAGGTGTTTGGAAAATAAGTTTTATCATCTATATACGAGGAAAGTCAATACAATTATAGTATAGTACATAGATGGGAGGAGTGTTTCACTTAACTGTATGAAAAATAGCCTGCCCTCCTGAAGATAGATCACTTGTCTGTTCTCATTGCTTAATTTTGAACACTTTAAAAACTGGGCCCATGTCTTTTATTGCAGTATCCTCAGGAACTGGCATAAAGATGGTACTTAGCTATATTTGATAAATGAATGAAAATAGGGATAGATAGATGCTCTCAGCCTTTTTTTGCTCCTGCTGTTCTGGGCTATGGTGATATGGGCCAAGCAGTATTTCTTATTATGGGACCAGAATGACATAAGTGGGAGTAGATCTTACCTCTCTACCTATAGAAGTTCCATGAGAGGATGCATGCCAGCTCAGTCTATAACTTACTCTGAAATCTTAGGCAAGATTCCTTTCTTCTTTTTTACTCAGTTTCCCCATTTAATAATGAGCAAGGTGGGCCAAATGTTTTTTAAGGTCCTTCCAATGCTACCATTCATTGATTTGTTGCACAAGTTTTATAATTATGAAAATATGAGTCACCAAATTCAGGTAGGCATATCTCAGCACATGTTGGACCTGTGAATTCTTACCTGAGAACCAGTCAGCACTAGAGTGTTTTGTTACTCAAGAAGGGAGGAGACAGAAACCAGAACGTATTACTTTTAAGCTGGTATTCCAGAAAATAATGCAAAATCCAGCCCTTACGCCAAACCAAAAGAATTTTTCACTGTTTGAGTTGCATTAGAGAGAAGCTCAGTGCTAGGCACAAAAAGGAAGGGTCAAACAGCTGTGGTGAAAAAAAGAACTTGGTGAAGACAGAGTTCTTGGGGAGAAGACCCCAGCACCACTTAATTACAAATGATACCCAGAATAGATGGAGTTTTTGTACACTGCTTTAGTGTGTGAGAGGCTTTTGTACAGCAACAGTTACCCATATAACAATGCCATCAGAAACCAATAATCATTACTCACTTTTTATTGAAGAGCACTTTGAAGATCAGAGAGATTAAGTGATTTGCTTTAGCTCAACCAGCTAGTAAAGGCTTAGTAAGGACTGAAGGAAGTTCTGTCGTACTTCTTTGCTTTCTAATATAGGCTGTCATCTTCTGCTGCCTGGATGCTTCCTGACTGGAGGTTTGCTCACCTCCCATCCATGTTCTACCCTGTCTGGATGGCAGGTTTCAGAGCAGAAGAGGAAGAGCAGGCAAGAGTGCCTTTGGGAGAGGTTCAGGAGAATTTCCTGGAGAAAGAAAAGGCATCCAGGGAAAAGGGTCCCCAGGTTGCTGAGATGTACCCACGTGCATCTTTTCTTCAAAGACTCTTCTGGTGTTGAAAATGATTCCAATAAAATGCAGTTTTGTGTGTATGTGTGTTTGCTGCCCTAAGCTTGTCTCTAACCTACTCTATTTAATACACCCAGCTTCCCAGGACATAGCAGGGCCTATTGAGTGAGATGAGACACACAGAATTGCATAACCAGCTTCTCCCAGGTAGTCTGGCAATCAGCCTGGGTGAGTTTTAGTGAGATTTAGCAAAAGTTTGGTTGGCTGAGATGGAGCAGTTCAGTCACGTGTGCAGGTACACGGCAGCATAAGCACATCAGTGACTGTCAGTCAACTTGCCACACACTGATGAAAAGCATGAAGGAAAATCACAGTAGATTGTCTAAGCAGAGAACACCCAAACATCACAAAGACCATTCAAGTTCTCTCTAGTTCATCACTCTCCCCATCTGACATCTTTGATATGGTTTCTTGTACTGGGTAACAGCATTAAAGAACTCAAAAACTGCTCACCCAGGGAAGACCAATACTAAAGAGACTGATTTTCAGGGTCTTCTGGTTCAAGCCCTGT